AAAAATAGAACAACAATATTCTGTTTCATCGTTAATGTCCTATATAACATATCATATCATAATCAAAAAAGTCCGACATTATACGATTTAAAATAAAAACAAACAAACAAAAAGATAAAACACAGGCGTGTAATTTACGTTAAATTAAATAGAATGGTTTTGAATAATATATGAGAGTAAAATCTACGTCACTTTACAGCCCCGCCCACTTTTGGGGAAACCAACGCTGTCATTTGAACGGCGATCAAGCCTGAAGCCACAGAGATCTTCTTTTACTGTCGTTTCTTCTTAGAGGAAGTACAGAAACACGTAACTCTGGATTTGTTTTAATGTTTGAGGTGCAATAAACGACACAGCAGCTTTTTGGCATGATAAAACTATTATTTTCTGCCTCGCTCATGAGAGTAACAGCTGGCGAAATCACAGCCTCGCCTACTGATTTCAAATGTGTGCTCTAAAATGATATTTATAAATGACTATTATCATTATCATAAGCCAAGACAAGACAATAAATGGCAAAGATATGTAGAAAATAAACGTATTTGAGATACGTTCATAACGAATGTAACGTGGGAGAAAATACGTTCCTAGCTAAACGTAATTGAGAATGCAGTTTAGTTCTGTGGGAACGTAATTTTTAGGAGACAGGGTTGAAAGGACACAGCATGTTAGATCAGTCTTACCTCTGAGGGGTGATTTCATGGCGGCCTCCACCATGCCGACGAGCAGCTGGAGACTCTTGGGGTCCTGGGCGAGGCCGGAGGAGAACGCTGCCAGGGCGTCGGCATGACGACCCAGGTACTGCAGGGCAACCCCCTGACGAAAGTAGGCCTGCAGGAAGAAGAAAGAAAGTGAATCAAGACCTTTACATTTTTATCTGCTTCTGAATTGTTATGGCTAAAAGATAGGTGATTCTGACTTGATTTGTGGTCATGCCAGAAGCTAAGCGTGAGTTCCATGTTCAACAATAACTCAATTACTTTCAGGTACATGTGCTTTAAAAGAAGAAGATCACAAATGGCACATGCACAGGACCTATACACATAAGGTTGTAATACACACATGCACTTCTTATAACGAGGTGTAAAAGGGAATAGGGTGCCATGTGTTATGGTGCCAGGGAACAGTTGGGGGTTCAGTGCCTTGCTCAAGGACAGTAGTGACCAGGAGGTTGCCCCTCTCCAGCTACGAGTCCACACTCCAAACTCTTTGGGACTTGAACCAGCGACAATTCGGTTCCCAAGCCAAGTCCCTACAGCTGAGCAAAGCTACTGATAACGCTAGTATTCATGGCAGATGTATCTACTTTATTTCCTTTTAATACCTCTTTACAATTCAACTCCAACAGCTGTTGGTTAGTTTTTATATCACATATTTTATTGCTTGTCCAGTAAAAAATTTGAATGGATGAAGTGTTCATTTATGTGCTGAGAAAATAACATTACCTCATAAGCTAAAAAGGCTATTAAAGAACCCTCTTGGATCATCTGAAAATGCATCATTACAAAGGCTGTTTTTCTGATGAAAATGTTTTGAGATATGTGGTTCTGACAGCACAACATGGCTACATATGTTACATCTGAACAAAGTGCAATGATGTGGATCAAACTATACCACATACACAATAAAATACACACAAACCAGCAGTAATATTAATCCGAATACATCATATAAAGTAGTAAACACTGACAGGAAACATTTTACTCCACAGTGAGTACTTTTACTTTCATGTTTTGAGTTAAAGGTCCCATGACATGGCCATTTCTACTGATCATAATTATATTGTTGAGGTCTACTAGAATAGATTTATATTGTGCAATTTTCCAATCTCACATAGGTTTCTCATACAGCATCTCTGTATAGTATGTGTATTCACCCTCTGTCCTACACGGCTTGTTGGGGCTCCTGCCCCCCCTCCCTATGAGCCCACTGTGCTCTGATTGGTCAGCTCGCCCACTCTGTTCTGATGAGTCCACCACCGTTACATCGGAACATCAGTGATTATGTGTTACAATGGCGTTAGCAACAAGAAAAGGACACCAGTAATGACAAACAGATGAGAATGCTGCGTGGGGTCTGGGTGCCGTGTTGGCGGGACGTTGCGAGGCTCGCTGCTGCGAGGAGCGGACAGTGTGAGCTGGCTTACTGGTGTGGTTTGCGGGTCGGCGAGACAGCGAGACACAGCGAAACCCAGCCCGAGCACACACACACCCGCAGCCTGGCTGTGAGTCTGTGTATGTGCTCACAAACAGACTCACAGCCTCGTCGCGTCCCGCCGTCTCAGGCTGAGAAATCCGCAGAGCTGCAGCTGAGAAAAGATTGAGTGTGTGTGTCTGAGGAATTCCACGTAACGGCTCCGCGGATTGGTCCATTAGGACCAATTGGTCAATGGGGTACTCGTTACGTCACGAGGTTCCCGGAAGAAACAAATGGAAAAAGAAAAATCTCCAACGAGGCGGCATACAGGTATTTTCTGTGTTAAGAGTTTTACTCGCTACAGGGTGTACTTTGAGGGTTTTTGACTCTGCAGACCGTTTACATGCAGAGACTGGTAATAACCGGAAAAGCATGACATGGGACCTTTAATTTTGCTCATAATACTTATTATTGTTAAGTTAACTAAGGTTTTGAAAGCACGCCTTTTACTTTCAGCCGAGTATATCGCACAATGTTTACACACACACACACACACACACACACACACACACACACACACACACACACACACACACACACACACACACACTTCATTGGGATCCCTCGTGCATTTCACAGCAAAATTGGAGTCAATGAATCATGACATTAAATTCACGAGGAGGACACACACAAACACACCTCTCTTCTTCTCTCTGCAGAACAGACTGTAACTTAATTGTCCTGTCTCCCTCTCTCTTCCCCCTAATTCCTCCCCCTTTTTCTCTCTCATTTATCATCCTGCCCTCTCCCCTCCCATTTAAACATAATCTGTCATGACAGTGAGTGTATGAAGACAAAGAGAAGAGGAATTAGATTACACAGCTTCTCCTGTCCCGCCTGCCACTTTCTGCTCCCGCCACTGTCTTTGTCCTTCTCCTCGTCTTCAGGCAGCTTCATTGAAACGAATAGAGCCGGGGGTCAAGCCTAATCTAATACATTAAGCCTTTAATGGGTGTGTTGGTGTTGGGAGCAGAATGTGAGCAGGACACGGTGTCATGTCGCTGTTGATTTACACAAAGGAGGATAAATGGTTCCTGATTACAGCTGGGGTCATATCCCTTTAGAAACAGAGAAATCAGCCAAAGCAGCAGTGATAATATAACCCTCTTTATTTAATAACCTTATGGCCTTTTCATTTGTCTGCCGTCTGTAGTACAAACAAGTGATGCCCTCGAATACAGTTTCTGTGTCTGTCAATCTCTCACAATCAGATTCAGTAATATGGACAGTGCCAAACCTACTGACAAAAAAACAACGCTGTCTTCCAAACAACCGCTAAGCGTTGGACACTTGTCCAAAAATGTTGTTGTTTTGGGGTTTTCCCTGTAAAACCATGAAGCTGAAACACGGTGCAAAAAAAAAAATCACAAGATTTGACTTCAGATCAGAATTAACTAAACTCTTAGTCTGGAAAACCAGAAGTAAATACAAGTATAAAGTTGTGTTTTTCACCAAAATGCATTGTGAGCATGCTAAAGGTCTATGTATGAATGTTGAAAGCCTTTAATTCTATAAAACAGTTGTACCTTTAACACTAAGAGATTACCCCACATATTTTGCTATAGCCCTTAGTATTTGCAGATTCACGATCATAACCAATGCCACAGTACCAGAGATATCATCTTTGTGCTAACACACATTGTTCTTCCTTTTCAAGACATGGTCCCTACATTACCCACAATACAACTTGACCGCTCACAGTTCAATTCATTCAAGTTTACTTTTCTAGTAGCAGTTTATGTAGCCTCAAGCCTGCAGCAAGGAGGAAGCTCTGGGTAAACTCTTTCTGAGTCCCCACCATGCTCCGCACAACCAGATTTTTCTTTCCTGACTTTCTAAAGACTTAGTGCTGTGACATCGCTTAAGGACATTTATCAGACTTCACACAGCTGCCTAGACACAAAAGGTTTTGTATTACTTTTGTTCACAGTAGCTCACTTATATGCATATTATGTATAAAGTCAGTCGAGTTCCCCTTAAAAATGAGACACATAATGGTCATTTTTGACAGAAAGAACACCATTGTAAAGCAGTAGTAGTTATACAACTCGACAATAGCTGAAATGCAGGATGGCGGCTCTTTTTCAGCTCGCGGCAATGATGCCAAGTGTCCATGCTGAGGAGAGAGAGACAGCAGCCTGCCCTCTGACCCCCATCCAGGCAGGAGAGGGGAGCAGCGGGGGGGATAGCGGGGCGACATATGGACACCCCACCTGTCTGCCTACCTCTACTTAGCATTACCCCTCAAATCTGTCGCCCTCACACTGATTTGGCTCCCGTTTGGAGGATGCAGTGTTTCTCTTTTAGGCATTCATGTCCTATTCTTGATTAGGGAAGCTCCGGGAGGATAATTTCAGTCAGATGAGGGTGATTACATCAGAGGAGGAGAAGTTATAATCAATGTGAGACGGGAATTATCTCTGCATGACTGTGTCTGACTGAATGTACAGCACAATAGGTAAAACTATGTGTGTGTGTGTGTGTGTGTGTGTGTGTGTGTGTGTGTGTGTGTGTGTGTGTGTGTGTGTGTGTGTTGGAGCTTTTTACCCCCATCAAGGGTGTAAACATGCCAGAGCCAGACAGAAAGTGACAGCAGGAAGAGTCTGCCTTCACCACCTCTTCCAGCCTCCTGCTCACACACATCCTGCCTATTAGCTCAGTCAGTCTGCGAAGCCCGCTAAGCACATACAGGGGGTACAGTTCACACTGACTCACACACACAGAAACACACTTTCTGTCTTGCTTTTCTTTCCTCTCAGCAGTTGCTCTGGAGCATCTTGTCAGATTAGAGTCTATTCACAAACTGCTCTAGTCACGTCTTGTTTGCAGGTATTTTACACCGTTTCCCAATCCAGCAGTAAGACAGCATCTTCACTTTCAGCTGACAGGTCTGTGTCAGTGAAAGTGAATTGATCAATAAAAAGGACAAGACTTATCCTGGTGGTATATTGTATGTGTGAGTGTGTTTGCATCTACAGTACCTATATTTGTGTGTATTTATTGATGTTTCCCCTTGTTGTGTTTAAATATACATTGGAGCTCTTGATTTTAAGCTGACACAGACACCTAAACTACTATAGCACAGATATTGCTGATACACACAGTTAATAATCAGATGAATCTACAGCTCACCTCTGCATTACGAAGCTTTCTAGCAAGTTACAGATCAGTGTTTAGCTGTCCGGCACACACATATTGCTTTGGTTAACTGGGCAACAGGTAAATGTTGAGAGAAATCTTGAAAAATAGCCTTACTTTACTAAAGCTCTCACTCAAAAAGTCAAGGTCCAACTAATTAGAACTAAAATGGTATGTGTTTCAATTTGTCTCTGTACAGGGAGTGTTTCAACCTTCATTAGGCCTATAGTCTACATCTTTTCCCATGTGGCTTCATATAACAGTCTGAGGTTATTGTGCGATGACGATCTTTATATTGTGGCTCCAGATCTGTCATTATCCTTCAAAATCCCCAAATAATGGCCCATAGGTATAATCATTTTATAACCATCTGGTGAGGATCTTTGTGGATACATGTGGTGGAAATGTTGTACAGTTGATGTTGCTCCACTTGTTTCTGGTGACTCCGCTGCCACATGTAGGTGAAAAGCAAGCAGATGAGCCCTAAGATGAGTTGT